CAAATCGCTTATATCTATACTAAACTTACAAAATAAAATAAAATACACAAGAAAAAAATATCACCAATTAGCTACTACTACAACTATACACAATATAAATTACAGCCACAATAGTACTCGTATAATGAGATCTTTTCACTTTACGAGTATCATAAATTAATCTAACTTATGTGGATTCTGTTAAAACATTTCTGTTTCTTTTTGAAAAATTCGCTATAAGCGCATGAATAATATGATCGGCTACTTTATGATATGCTTGTGGTGTTCTCTACGGGGACGAAGATTGGTTTATGAGAAATAAATAATTTGAGAGTTAGTTAGTGAAATACAAGTTAGATATAAAAAATCAGCTATCTTATTTTCGTGGGAAATCCTCATGGATACCTTTGGCTGCAGGGGCAATTGAAAGGTTATGCCGGAGTCCTACCAGCTAATGGCTAACGGTTGCCTCCATTAGCGTGTAAGAGGGATCCCGATATCTCCGTTTGGAACGCAACCTGGGCCACTCTCTCGCTTTAATTTATTGGAAACAAGTACTTGCTGCCCCCAGCACCTTTACAGTACTGTCACGACGTCCCAGGACCACTTCCGATCCCGCTCAGCAGCCTCCGTCTGGACCATGACGGACTCACAGAAAGTAGCTACGATAGTCCACGCTGGCCCCCGCTCAGCATCGCCAACATGACTGCTGTCAGGGAGAGGTTCTGACCGACCCTCGCCAGGATTGTCCACTCCCGTTCCCACGCCGGGCAAACCGCAAGAATATGGAACGTGGAGCGTCCAGATCCCGCCCACCGCAGTGGAAATAGTTTGCCGTCACTTCGGGTCCGATCTTACACAGATAATCACCGAAGCACTTGCGCCCGGTACAACTGTCTAAATATTATATTATATTTAATTACTTATATTTTAATTATTTATAATTATATTTAATTACTTAATTATCTGTGTAAGTCATTTGCAAAAAAAATTTACTTATAGAAGATCATTAAATACCATATTAAATAAAGAAGTCCAAGTACACTACCTTTTTTTTTTTTTTTTTTTTTTTTTTTTTTTTTTTTTGCGGATGGAAAATCATCTAATGACCCCTTTCGCTCTGGGTGGAGCGTCAGGGAGTGTCAGACTTTTACTGACTAAAAACCATCCGTGTTCCTTCAGTGCCCTTACGTTCCGGAGCCGCGGTATCTCTTTCGAACAGCCCGCAGCCCCGGCAGGCGTCGGCCCTTGCGGGCCCCTTCACGCTGCTGACAGCTCTTTGAGGCGCGCGTGGAACAAAACGCGCCATCGACACGGCCTGTCGTCATTAGACGGACGGACGACGAGCTACCCATTGCTCGCCGTCCACAGGCCCGCGCCTACGGTGGCCGGGGGCCACGACGTAGCCCCCGATGCCCGGGGCGTCTCCCGCGGCGGCCGGGGAGGAAAGCTGCTGCTCTCTCCTTCTCCCGCTCCGCCACCTCCTTCGCTAGCATCACTGCTTCGCAGAAAGTGGTGACGGCATCCCATTCCGTCTCGCTCCGGACCATGGCTTCGACCAGGGCCGGACGCGAGAGGTCGCCGCCGCCTATCGCCGCTACGAGGACACGGCGGTGCTCCGCCCAAGCAGGGCACACCTCCACGGTGTGTTCCACCGTGTCCTCCGGTCCATCCTCGCAGTGGGAGCACCCGGGCGTTTCCTCCCGCCCGATTCGGTGCAGGAACCTCCCAAACACACCGTGTCCGGTGAGGACCTGCGTCAGGCGGAAGGTGAGGATGCCGTGGCGTCTCTCAAGCCACTCCTCAAAGAGGGGTCTTATCGCCGCTATAGTGGCGTGCCCAGCTCGGGGTTGCGACAGTCGCTGTCTCCATGTCGCCATGAGATCGTGCCGGAAGTCTGTCCGCTGCGCGACAACTTGCCGCGGCAGCGGGGTTTCCCCACGGCATAGTGCCTCCGCACGCCATTCATGCAGGCGCGCGAGGACTATCGCCTCCAGATCCCATGGCGGCAATCCGGCAAGGAGGCTCGCCGCCTCGCGGGAGATCGTGCGGTAGCCGCGGACCATGTTCACGGCTATCACCCTTTGGGGCGCGTTCAGGTGGTGGACGGCAAGCCGCGCCAAACCACGCGCCCACACCGGGGCCCCGTAAAGGGCCATGGACCGCACGATGCCCGCGTAGAGCCTCCGGCAGGAGGCGTTTGGCCCTCCCAGGTTCGGCAGGAGCCGCCTGAAGGCAGCCGCGGTCCGTTCCAGTTTGGGAGCCAAACGTCGGAAGTGCTCAACGAAGTTCCATCGGCCGTCGAGGACGAGTCCTAGGTACTTCAGCGTCGACTCGACGTCGATGGATACCCCTCCTACCATCACTGAGGATCCCGGTGGTGGCCTGTTCCGAGGACCATGGAAGTGCATGGCCTCGGACTTGTGCAGAGCCACCTCGAGACCCAGTTGCCGAATCCTCTCAACGACTATCGCAACCCCGCGTGTCATATTTTCCGCCGCCGCCTCGTACGACCCCCCTTGTGCCAGTACCAGCGTGTCGTCAGCGTAGCAAACTACGCTGACGCCGGTAGGGAGGTCGGCGCGCAGCACCCAGTCGTAACCGATGTTCCACAGAGGTGGCCCCAGAACCGAACCCTGTGGGACACCGCACGACATCTCTCGCCGGTTCCACTCACCGTTGCGACCGGGGTAGATGACGGCCCTGTCCGTCAGGTAGTCCCCGACTATACGACGGAGATAGGTCGGCACCCGGTGATACCGGAGTGCCTCCCTAATGCAGCTCCAGGGCATGGAGTTGAAGGCGTTGGCGATGTCGAGAGACACCGCCAAGACAACCCCCCTCTGGCCACTGCATCCCCCGTCGTGAGGGCTCTCACGCGCATGATGGCGTCCACCGTAGAGCGCCTCTTGCGGAAACCAAACTGGTGTTCCACAAGATCCGGCCCCGTCTCCGCAAGGTGCTCGGCGAGGCGGTTTGCAATGACTCTTTCAAAGAGCTTGCCCACCTCGTCGAGCAGCACCACGGGCCGGTATGAGGACGGAAAGTCCGCAGGGCGCCCCGGCTTCCGAATGAGGACCAGCTTCCCCGTCTTCCAACGAAGCGGGAATTGGCCTCTCTCCAAGCATGCGCTTAGGAGCCCCTCCAGTCGGGGCCCGAGAGCCTCCGAGGCCAGGACCCAGGCTTTGCCAGGCAAGCCATCGGGTCCTGGGGCGGTATTCCTGGCCTTGAGCCTACGTACCGCCACTCTCAGGTCTACCCCGGTCCCTTCTGGGATGTCGTCGTCGTCGTCCTGGTGGTCCGCTTCCGGCACCGCAGGTGGCGGAGCTATAGGCGGGGGCGGATTTTCCCGTCGCGCAGGGAACAGAGCGCTCACCACGTCCTCCACGAGCTGGGGCCGGAGACTTTGCGTCAGCGGGGGGGCCCAGGTGCGGAGTTTATCCCGCACGGATCTCTGTTGAGAGTCTCCAGCATCTCCTCACGGGCCCGATCCCGGGCCCGTAGGACAGCCTCCCGGAGGACGTTCTTCACCGCTCTGTATCCCTCGTACAGCTCCGCCTCAATGGCTGCCGCATTCGGTGGACGAATGCGGAGCCTGCGATGCCTGGTATACAGGTGCCGCGCGGCGACACACGCCTCGCGCAGAGACGTCAGCTCACGCGACCACCAATACACCTGACGCCGGGCGCTTCCTGGCCGGACGCGGGGCATTGCCACGTCACATATTTCGGACATGGCCTCCTGGAACCACCCTGCCTCATCATTGACGTCGGCAGGCCTGTCCAGTGATGACACCCAGGCCTGCACGATCGAGGCTTCCAGGAGGAGCTCCCGGTCCAGCTGCTTCAGCGCCCAACGCGGACCACTCGGGGCCTATTGGACTGGCGCGCTCGAGGGCTGGGTGGAGACATCAAACCGGATGTACCGGTGGTCGGAGTAGGTCTCCACCCCCTCCATGACACGCCAGTCAATGGCACGCGGCGACAGAGCGGGGCTAGCGAACGAGATGTCCACCACCGACTCGCCCCGCATCCGCACACACGTGGGGACAGAACCCCGATTTAGGACGACCAGGCCTGTCTCCAGAGCCCAGTCTTCCACCATCCTACCCCGCACATCTGTACGACGCGAACCCCAAGCCAAGTTCTTGGCATTGAAGTCCCCGAGGACAAGTACGGGGAGGGGATAACTTCCGACGACGACTGCTCTCAGCTCTGCAAGAGAGTTGTGGAGCTCGGCGAGAGATCGGTTCGGGGAGAAGTACACCCCCACAACGACGAACTCCCCGAACCGTGCTGCTACGCACCCCTGACCCCTCCTGACACCTTCAAGGGTCGGGGTACCGGCGGCGGCCGAAGAGATGATGGCCACTGAGCCGTTAAGGTCCGCCACCCAGTCCTCCCTAGGCCAGACAAAATACGGCTCAGCGACCACAGCGATGTTAATCGAAAGTACACTACCCTGTGGCACACCATTTCTATTTATAATTCATACTACTCGAGCTTCTTATTTAACTTTTTAATTTCTAATCTATTCATTTCATACAATTTATTACTAGTCCGCGAAAACCTAAGTGTCTGTTAGGTGGAAGTTTGTGTGCAGCAGTCAAAGGTTTTAATCATATATGCAACTTTTACTTAAGTGTGTGAATGTTACCTCATAAACTGTGAGTTGTGCGAGGTTGACAACGCATCTGCATTTTGTTTTTAATCAAGAGTAGATGTAAGGGCGTCTGCGTAATGGAATGTCTACTTACCCTCTTTACTATTAATTGTCAGTCACCTTTAAAAAAAACACAACAACTAAAGATTTATGTTACTCTTTTGTACTTTAAAGAATACACTTTACATTTTCATTTAAATAACTTTAATCTTGATTTCTTGCACCATAACTATTTCATATTATTATTAAAAATTGTTGTTAAGATATTTTTATATCGCTTGTCGTAATTGGATTGTTTGCTTTCGTGCAATTTCTATCGATTTTAATATAGTTATAGTAGTAAAAGCTACTAAACATACATGTGAATGCACTTGTCCCAGCAATTAATAACATTTTAATAACTATCGGATATCCACAGTCAAAAAATAAACTGATTATGTTTTGCAAACTTATCAAAGCGAATTGTACCTGTAAAGAAAAACAAACACTTATTAAGAAAATTAAGCATTCAAAAGATGTAAAAATTACGGGTTGGAAATGGGGAAATAGCATCCCATATTTTCCATATGTATGTTATCGCCGCTGATAAAAAGCATTGGATTTTTTATAGAATACGGCTAACAAGCGAGCACACTATACACCTGATGGTAAGTGGATGCTGTGACCCACAGACATCCACATCTATCCCTTATTAAGTATCAAAATGCAGATGCTTTGTTACGTCTAAATACTTAGATGGTATGCCTCTTTTCCAGTAAAAAGGGTCTCCGGTTCCCTACACTCACCATACGTAACACGGTAGCATTAAGATGCTATTTGACGCTAGTATTTTGTGAGAGTTCTTCCCTGGTCGAGCCGACTCATACTTAATATAAAAATAAGATAGCTGTAGTGCATTTCAACCACGTGTATCCAGTATGACGTGTATGATCATAGAATTATATTATTTTATACTATTTGCTGGATATTTAATATACGTTATATCAGGAACAGACACGAGATAGTAGTACCAGCTACTCGACTCTACCGACCCATTAATTCATTCTTGGGACCATGTATACGCTTTTACAACAAAATCCCAGAAAATATACAAAATTTGACATAAACAAAGTTCAAAAACTTTATAAAACTAAGTTTGTATAAAAAGGGTTATCATAATATTAAGGACTTTATGGATGATAATAACCCCTGGGAAGGTTGATCGCTATCAAGCTATTTCTAATTTGTTTTGTATTGTTAATTGTAACGTACATGATTGTAAGCTATTATTGGGAAAAAAATTGTCCCGCTGAGTTTCTTGCTGGTTCTTCCCAGGACAGAGGTGTTTTTTGCGAACCAGTGGTAAATGAAAAAAGTGACTTTCAATAAGTATTGTTTACAATCTACATTGAATAAAAAGTTTCTGTGTCTGTTTCTGTTTCTATTATAGTTTAATGATTAACCCTTAGAAAACTCAGGCCATAGTCATTAGAAGCCTAAAATAATCTAATTTAGAGTAATTTAAATTGGAGACTGTACTGAAATCCCTAATAACAAGGTTAAAAGTGTGGGGTTGTATCTCGACTTCTGTACGTCTTAGACCTCATAGGTTAATGAGGTTAGTAGAAAATATTTGTTGCTTTAAATTACGTAGATAACGTAATTTTCTTTCCACAGTAACTAAAGTTAACCTCCACTCCTGCCCATTATGGACTATGTTGATATTTGCTTTCTTAATTTTACCAAGAAACAGCTTAACAAGCTTGAGCGCATTTAAAATTTATGTATTGGATTTATATTTGGGCTCCGCAAATATAATCACGTCTCTGAATTTCACAAACAGCTCAAATGGCTCCCAATTTGCCTTTGCACGAATAGTTACATTCTTTCTGCTTTGTATGTCATTCTTTTAATCCTTCTACCCCTCATTATTTAAAAGACCGTTACCACTATATTGCTATTACCCATAATCGGTTCCTTCGATTTACTCTGCCAATGTTTCTCTCTCTACTCTACTTCCTCTTTTTTTAAGAAATCCTAGAATAATTAATAGTATTTTTGGCAGACTTTTCTCCAGGATTTTTGAAGAATAACAATTTTTAAGCACATTATTTTGGTGTATACGAGTATCTTAAGGTTTAGCCAGAGTAAGCCTTATAAGCGTCCTAAAATTGATTTTTTGACGACTTGATTTCAAAACATTGAATTTTTTCTGCTATTTAAAAACCTATTTATAATATATTGTATATATTAAGTTAAAGTTTAAATCGGTTCAAAATCCATTGTGTGGCTTAGAAAAAGTTAGTAGAGATACAGAAATGATGAGGACAATGCGATTAGTGACTTTGCTTTAAACACATTTTTCATCGGGTGAGTCTCATGCTCGTTTGCCCCCTTCTTCTATAAAAAAGAGATAACTAGCGACATGTACTACAAAGCATAGGGAAGCAATTGGCGGATGTAGTATACAACTTTGTTATACCGGGTAATATAAGGATAATCCTGAAATGGTATAATTTGTGGCCGTGGTGTACATTAATTTAACGTAAGGTATTTTTTTTGGTATTTTTAAATCACGTCTTGTTAGTCTTAAAACTTAATTAGTACTGGTTTACAACTTTTTGTATTTTTTGTGTGTCTTTACACATATATACAATATATATATATATATAAGATAAACAGTTTGATGATTATCTGTTAAATACCAGCATCATTTTTATTAGTGTTTAATTCTTTATCTAATATAAAATACAACACTGATAAAAGTAATGAAATGACCCATTTTCACTTTCTTATTTTAAGAGTAAATTTTTTCCTCATCTCATGATATTGTTCTACGTTCTTTTTCTAACAACAAAATGTGTATCCTTGTCCACTTCACCGAGTTCTATGCTAACTCCTTTACAGTTCAGACTACACGTCTTTGGATCTCCTTGCCCGATGACATCAGAAAAGCTCCCAATAACATGTTTAAAAAGTTAGTGCGTAATCATCTATTAAAAATAACGATTCTTACATGAATCATCCATGTCATTTAAATTGTTAATAGATGTATTGATTCATAGTTGTTTATAATACAAAGGTGACCGCCCACTGGATGGAGTGATAACCTGGTAAGACATGCAGGAAGTCGATGGATGCTCAGTAACGTTCTTGTGGCATTCCTTGGGGGAGGCCTATGTTCAGCAGTGGAGTTATGAAGGAATGTAAGGAATTAATGAAATGTATAAGTTATATTTGTGTAGCTTATTTATTTATATATTAGTAAAATGTATATTAGGTACTTACTAATTAATGTTTATTTTGTTTTTTATTCTTTATTGCTATACTTACGTCAAACTCCCACCATTCCATGGTTTGACTGAAAGAGCGTGGCTCAAAGCATTAAGGACAGCCTTTGTAATCTTTTGATTTAAGGAATACAATAAAGATAAAATAAATAAATAATAAACACCAGTCATAATGAATGTAGTCTCTGTGCAAATAAATATATTCTAAGTGACGAATCATATTAATTATACAACGACATAAACTTTTTTTTAAAATAAATCTCACTGTTTTTATTCTTACTTCATCCCAAAAATGAAATAAATGTAATATTTTTTGGTTAAGCGTACTTTTCGTAACGATGAACTATCACTATTTAATTGGAATATGGAATGGTTGCCACCACAGTGTCCAATTAATATGTTTCTCATTATAACATTATTTAATGAAGTAAAAGTGACAAAAGTGAGAATTGTCGTTGTGTGTATAATAGATTAGATTAAAATGTTCTTAAAATTGAAAATAATGTATTATCATCATTAATTACTTTACAAGTCTAAACATAGGTCTCTCCAAGTGGTGCTGCAAGGCACGGTCTTGAGCTAACTGCGTCTATCGACATCCTGAATGATGTGCCAGGTTTCTTTCTCCATCAGTAGTCGTTTCATCAAGCCATATCTGGCCCTTTGCCTCTTCACCCTATTTATCCGTTGGGTCATGTCAGTAACCGTCGTTCCGCTGCGGAAATATTCGATGTGGCATAACCCTCTCCATAGCATATACAAATGCTATACTTAATTTTTTTTATATAATTTACCAGGTTCTAACACATTTCGTACATAGAATACGACGGAAAAATAATCTCTACATCTATACATGTAAATAAATGTAAAGTGTCTGCCTCTAATATTAAAATAACTGGTTTTTACTAAGCTGAGGGGGGTAATTTACATGCTAATAAGATATAAATAACGATTTTTAAATTTTTTCAGCTATCTGTCCGGGCTAATCTTTAATATGGCTAAACCGATTGTACGAAACGTTACGAACAGATAGAAGGCAATGCCAATATGGGTTTATGCTATATTTTACCTATAAAACTTGAAAATTTAACGCCATGTTCATAGATCCTATCCAGGAGAAGCTGTTCTGGGTTTCTAGTCAATTAAAAAATTCAATACGTACTATTTGCATTATAGTTAGGTATCGCTTCCACCACAGGTATTTTTTATATTTTGGTCCCAAGCCAGATATAAAGTAATATGTGTACATTACAATGTGTACAAAACAATTAAGCCAACCAACAAATAAAGCTTGGCCCCCTGAAAAATTAAAGAAATTGTTACTAAAAAAAACAAATTACTGGCTACAATGACCTAATATGTATGAATACATAGCATGACATAACATTAACTTCCTTATCTGCCACATATAGAAGAAGGCTGAGACATGTGACACACCTCTCTCGCTTACTTCACATATAATCTACTACTGGAAAAATCAACAAGTAACATTAAAAATAATGTTCTTTTAATTCCTATAAAAATTTCCGTGCTACAAGAATGACAGAAGAAAACTTGACGTGTTCGTTTCGTGCAGTGGTTTCTTATTTAGAAAAAAATATTATATTGTGCATACACATCTACGTATCTGCACATCTTAACTGATTGCCGACCCTTAGTGCGCAAACGCAACACTCATTTGAGAACATCCGAACTTAGGTCAGAGGAAGGGAAATTGCTAACAGCTAAGCAAATCCTTCCATTTATCATATAAAGGACTAAGCAGTAAACTATAACCATAGAAGCGACCAAAATATATCTTAATGGTCGCAGTGATTCTGGTCTTATTAGACCTGCATAACTTAAAATAAATTGTAAATTAACTAAGTTTACAATTGGAGCCGTTTGTGGTTCAGCGGCAGAGTAGATTGTAAGTCCGCTAACATGAATTAACAGCAGCACCAGCGCTGTGAACACTATCTTGCCCTGAAACCCTTACAAAATATCAGCGTAACCTAGAAGATTAATGTAGCTCTATTTTGTCGTTCATACATACACGTCATACACTCACATTTTGATCTTTAATCGAGAAAAATTTAGATGTCTATAGGCCACAGTATCTACAATATATCTTTAGTTGGACTGCGTGTTCGCTTACCAATTTTATTCCACTTAAAATGAGAAAAGCCTAGTAGTAGTATTGATACGATTTATAACTTAAACACAAAAAAGATTACTTAAATTATGATAATAATGGATGGACCAATCCATCAATTACGGCCTATAAAATTCCATTATTGAATATAGGTTTACCACAGAGTGCCACATGCTGAGTAGGTAGATTAACAACCGCAGAGTTTTATAATTTGCAGTTGTATTGAGAAAGATGCTGCGGTCCATATCCTGTTTCGATTTCCCCCTGTCGCTTTTTACGACACCCACGGCACGATATGGTGTAGTGGATACCCACCATCGCTACACGGTTAACGATACGATATCTTCAGGTGGTAGAGCCACGGTGCAGCTATACACCACCACGCTCTCAAAATACCAGCGAAAAATATTAGCTGAATGCTGATTCGTTTCATATGGTGAGTGTAGAGATCCGTAGATTCTCTTTCCTGGAAACGATAATTCCATCTCAGTCCTCAGGGGTGATAACACATCTGCATTTTGATGACGATAAATGTAGATACATGTCTATGGACCACAGCATCAACTTACCATCATGTGAACTCTGTGCTCGTTTGTCGTCCTTATTTCATAAAAAGATGATATCGTACCTGGATAAAATTTGACAGCCAGCCAGCTTGCGAAGGCCATTACTGTATGATGATAAAGATGCAAGAACGATATTTGTCTATAAGACTTCCTTAAAACGAAGAATACTGTATCGAATAGCTCCGTCAATTTTGCCATATAATACCACCAAACTCCTGACACAATCTGAAACATAATAATTTTTATTTTAAATTTAGTAACGAAAATTTATGGGTGAGTAGTACTCTTGAATTATTAAATTATATTTTTCTTTATAGCATGTAGATAGAATTAAAAAGATTCTAAAACAATATTTTGAATAGTTTTATAGATTAATTCCTTTTATAAATAATCGTTTAATTATTTGTTAGAGATTGTGTAACTTCTGAACGACTTGACCGATAAAGGTTATATCCACACAATATACTGGTTCATATGTCATATAGCCAGCTAGATTGCTCTATAGCGAAATTTACTAACAAATTATATAATAAAGGACCAAAAATGACTGTTATGGCGTTGCGCGCCATAGTTGACGCCTGGTACATGGCGGGTTATTATTAGCGCCATCTAGTATCGACGAGCAGAAATAAAAGGGTCAAGATTTTTCTAGAAACTAGCACCATCTTGTATGGATTAGAAGAACTAAGAGAGCTTTCTAGGAAATTCTAGCTAGATCTTTCGACTTTCTACTCGAACATTCTATGTAGATGTTTTTACTAAAAAAGGTCCTATATAAGGCCAGTACGGGAAGCGACCGAGGCAGTATTGAATTGGCGAATCAAGCGAAGACTTCGGAGTGAAATAAAGTGAACTAAAGTGTTAAGTTTGGTTAACTATTGGTGTGTTTTAAGTTTTAATTGGTGTACGGTAATTAAAGTGTCAAGTTTGGTAATTTAATCGGCAGTTTTTATTGTCAGAAACCGTAAGCTCGTAACATTACGTTGGTTGTGTCAAAAAAGAAATACAAAAAATCGGGATCCGATAGGTAGTGCTGTGATCGAGTTATTATTAAATTTAATTGCATTGTAAAAGTTTCAGAGTGAATTTGAAGTAAATCTGAGGCACCTGCATTCATCGACTTCCTGTATATCTTATAAGGTCGCACTCCATCTAGTGACAGGGTGGTCCATCACCCCACACTTTGCTTATCATTACGAAGCTGCCACTTGAGAACTTTAATTGCATTGTAAAAGTTCTGGAGTGAATTTGAAGTGAATCTGAGGCACCTGCATTCATCGAATTCCTCTGTGTCTTACAAGGTCGCACTCCATCTAGTGACGGGGTGGTCCATCACGCCACACTTTGCTTATCGTTACTAGGCTGCCACTTGAGAACTTTAATTGCATTGTAAACGCTTTGGAGTGAATTTGAAGTGAATCTGAGGCACCTGCATTCATCGACTTCCTCTACGTCTTACAAGGTCGCACTCCATCTAGTGACAGGGTGGTCCATCACCCCACACTTTGCTTATCGTTACGAGGCTGCCACTTGAGAACCTCTCTCCCCACACATTCCCAGAATTATTTCCCTACGGTTTCCGAATCATTACTTAAACAAATGAACCTGAACAAAGAAATTTACATTGCAATGAATATTGTCAGGATATTATAATGACTTTTATCCTATAATTTACGAAACTGATATTATAATCAAACTGATAGTTATAATGTAGGTGTAAATCAAGCACGCCGTCGTTGAAAAAATCATCTAAGGAGTAAAATGACAAGACATAAGAATTATTTCCAGAGCTAAAAGACTCAACGTCAGACATAATTCATAGGCTAAGATATAAAATACACGAATTAAATAAATATAAAAAAGCAATAAAAAACCCCATCATTTAACTGTTTACAAAGTAAACTTAATATAAATAGATCTTACGTGCAAACTTAAGTATAATCTATGATATCTTAGGTGGCAAAATATTTTAGGTATCGCACAAAATAATAATAAAAAAATTACCTAAATAAATCGATTACAAAATCAAAGTATATAATCAATATTGGCTATATGGTACATTTGTCCTTTATCTATCAAGAGCTAAAAAAAATGTAATGTCAAATTCAAAATATTGAGTAGTTTACATGTTACATTTATAAAAGTATTAGCACCAATTGTAAAGATGATTATGATTAGATTATTACCATTAACATGCATAGCATAGATAAACCTACTAAGTAAGACTCCTCTGCATAGAAACTAAAAAAAATAAACTTGTGCAAATTATGTACTATGTATAAATCAGTTTTGATTTATAAGGATAAAATATCCTGAGGAGTTTATATTACAAAGAAAAGAACTTAAAACTACAATAAAAAATTTAATAAAACAGAACTAAATACATAATAGCGTTATATGCTACAGATATAATCAGAGCCATGAAATAAGTACTTGATATATAAAAAAAATAAAAAATAAAAAGAAATAGGAAAAAAGGGATACCTAAGGACTGTACGAAAAATATAGCTTAAGTTAGCTATTTTTTAGCTCTTAAACGGTGGGAACTTTTAGACTCCTCTTTCTGCCCCACATCTTGATTGCGCCGAGAAATCTCACACAGACTTTTTGTACTTGATGAACTTTGCTGTGCTTGAATATTACTTTGCAATATTAGTGACGTCACTATTAGAAGCTACATCATGTATTGTTGATAAACAATCGACAGGAAACTTTTCAATGAGAGTATCAATCTCTTCCCCACGTGGAGATCTTTGCCCGTTCGTTATTGGGATGCTTGTTAAAAATTTTGCCATCTAAGGTCTACACATTCTTCAATCCAAAATGCTCGCGTGCTTTTTTTATGAACAGATTACCTCATTTTGGTTAAAGACTCAGACACTGATATTTGAGAGCCCTTTAACATAGTTTTAGCTTTCCACACCTCAGACTTTGTGCGATGCTCTTGAAATTGTACAAGGATTGGACGTGAATGACTGTCCTTTTGAACACCAATTTGATGACAAGGAATTTGTTACATGTGGGATACCCATTTTGTTATGTATGATGCTTATTATTTCTTGTTCAATGTTAACATCAAGAGAGTCGGAGGACCAATTAAATAGGAGAATGTTCTGCCTGTGGTGCATATCAATAACATCAATTGTCATAATACAGGCAGGCATCTGTTGCCGAAGGTGATTGAGAACAGAGCTAACAAGGTCTTTGAATTCATAAAACTCATCACGAAGTTGATTAAGAGAGGTAGTAGTTGGTGTAGAAGCAGCCTTTAATCTGTTTTCAAAATCAGCCATCTTGCGACTCTAGCTTCCTTCAAGTTCTCTATGCATGACTTCCACATCAGACACTTTAGCCATTAGCAAATATTTCCAGTGATATCAGTGAACACGAAGTGAAGTGCTAGTGAGTGATATAGTTTACAAAAAAAAGTTACACCGATGGGTGGTATGAGTAAGGCACAAATATTTTATCTGGACATATGTTTCAACATGACTTCCAAAGAAAAGGTAATAAAGATGTAATTTATAAGTAAATATAGTCCAAACACTAGTTTAAAATAATTTAAATGTAAATAAAATATAAGGAGCTAATTAGACAGCTATTACTTGTTGCACATCTACCCACGAAAAAACAAATATATATTATATATATATATATATATATATATATATATATATATATATATATATATATATATATATATATATATCAACTATAATCAGTTTCACAAGGTTGTTCGACAATTGATGACGCAATTTTATTCAAACATTATATTATCTGCGCATGGCAGAACTCAGACGATGCTTTCTAAAGCATCGTCTGAGTTCTGCTGTAAAAGATGACTGTCATCTTTTTGCAGAGCTTCCGACTTTGTTCACCAGTTTGTTATTCAGTGAGCAGAGTATAATGTAAGAAACATAGCATATCAACTTTTATTTCCTGTTTAAATAATAAGACACAAATAGTTTATTTTAAAATGGGTTTAGTTCTCATAATGATTTCTTAAATTTACGCGAACACTACACATTGAATAAAACTATTATTTACGGATTTTATCGCGTTTAATTACAGTCGAGCCCGCGTCTGTACTCTGACTACTGTCTCTACTACCATATGTCAGAGGAGTCACGGACAAGATTGGCTACATCTTGAAGCGAGCGTCCATTAAGACATACTACAAGCCGCTGAAGAAGATTAGTCAATTTTTACCATCCATCAAATGTAATATTCCTCTACAAGATGCAGGTGTGTACAAGCTAGATTGTGAATGTATGTGGTCTCTCTTACATAGGTCAAACAAAGAGATCTATAAAAACCCGTGTGAAGGAACATATAGCTGATGTGAAGCACCGGCGCTCCGGAAAGTCTGCAGTCTGCGAACTTGTTCAAGATCGTCCCCACCATTATATTAAAACCACAAATTCTCGCAAAAGAACACCGATTCCTACCAAGGATGATACGCGAGGCTATTGAAATTAAAAAACATCCAAATTTCAATAGAGAAGATGGTTGGGTGCTACCATCTGTTTGGGATCCTATAATTAACAAAATTAAACCCAAACCCAAGCATACCACTGCAAGACTTCATGATACTATAAGCTCGTTTTGCGTAAATCGGACAAAAAAATTAATATAAAAAAAAAACGGAAGGACTAACTATGACATTGGAACGTGAAACATCTCAGTCCCCCCCCCCGTGACCATGGGTGCTGTAAAGCACACGAAACGTCGGGATAATAATAAAAATAAATTAAAGTAATTAAACGCGATAAAATCCGTAAATATTAGTTTTATTCCTTATTTTTCTTAATTTATGTTACTGACTTAGCTTACCTGGCTAGCTATAATTCATTCATTCATTACAGCCCTTCACAAGTCCACTGCTGAACATAGGCCTCCCCCAAGGTATACCACAAAGCACGGTGCTGAGCCACCTGGGTCCATCGACTTCCTGCATGTTTTACCCGGTCGTCACTCTATCTAGTGGGGGGTCGCCCTACACTTCACCTACCGGTACGAGGCTGCCACTCGCGAACCTTTTTTCCCCAACGGTTGTCGGTTCTTCGAGCTATATATAATATTTTTACGTGGTAGAGCCATGCTGCAGTTATATTAGTAGTATAGTTGTAGCACGAATGGGTAGGCTCGACCGGGGAAGGACCACGCTCTCACAGAATACCAGCGTGAAATAGTAGCTTAATGCTGCTGTATTTCGTATGGTGAGTGCAGAGAACCGGAGACCCTTTTTACTGGAAACGAGGCATTCCATCTTAGTCCTCACGGGTGACAACGCATCTGCATTTTGATTCGTAATCGAGGATAGATGTAGATGTCTATGGGCCACAGCAACCACTTACCATCAGGTGGACTGTGTGCTCGTTTGTCACCCTATCCTATAAAAAAAAAAATGGTCGGCCCATTGCCACTTCAGCTTACTAATCCGTTGGGCTATGTCGGTCACTCTGGTTCTACTACGGATATCCTCATATCTAAGTTTATCACGCAGAGAAACTCCGAGCTCGTACGGCCAGCTATAAGGAATGAAAAAATTATAATTGCTCCAAAACCTACCCGCAGAGCATTAAGATCACTTGAGCTATGTACGCTTTGACAAAAAAAATTGAAGTCCGTGAAAAACATTACGACAGTAGCCTGTGAAAGAAAGATTTTTTTATGTAATAAGTTGGTAACACTGAAGTATAAATATTTAAATATGTTTACCTTACCTCGTAAAAAATATATGCACTTAATATAATATGAAATAAATTATACGCTTTCAAGACATTTTTAAATACAAGTGGCTTTCTATTTTCCATTAACGAAGGTCCGATTGTGGTGCAAAAATAATTATAAAAGGCTAGGATCACAACAAGAACTAGAGGACTTGAAACTAAAAACCAGTTTTTTGAAAGTGGATCTGAAATATAAATAAAATTACTTTGAGAGTTTATATACCTAATAATGTCCTCCAGACCTAATTTCGGCCATAGCGGTCTACCTCAACGGAGGCTAGCCATCGGCGCAGGACTGGATTATAGTGCCCAAGTGTATGCGCAAGCACAGGTGCACTCTCTATTCCCTCACTCTCATAATCCAATGGGACGGTAAACCGACACGACCGGAGAGAGATCAGGCGCAGGACCAACGGCTTTACGTGCTTTCCGAGGCACGGGGGTGAGACACCGCCAACTTCCTGACTCCGGGCAACTACTGAGAATTTATTGACGGAAAAACTCAATAATTTATTTTTGGCCAGACCCGGGATTTGAACCCAGGACCTCATGATCAGCAGTCGCACCACTACAACCACTAGACCAACGAGGCAGCCCCATATCTAATATAAGAGGCAACAAGCCAACAATTCATAGAATGATAAGTGGTACTGCAGAGACATCTGAAATCAACTTCAATAAGCAATCACAGGTAAATTGTCACCATTGCAATCCGAGATTAATGAATTACTTAAATCCATACACATATGCAAATACACACGTAGGTATATTAAACATCCATGTACTTAAACAACATATGAGTAAATTTATGCACGCACACCCTACGAGTTTTACACAGACACATACATCGTACAAAAATTATATCAACACTTTCTTCATTTACGCTGTGTAGTGGCAACATAAGAGAATTCACTACTTCATTTAATTGCACAGATATCGTAAGAGCCGACAGAGAGGAAGAAAGCAGGAGATGATTAGCAGCATTTTCCTGATAACTAAAAATAATACGAAACTGCGGTTGACAAGCTCTCTACCAAGCAAGGAAACTATGGCAAATACTCTCCTATGAAGCAATGTTTGGTGAATGTCTAGCAGTAGATATTTGATATTATGCTGTATTGAAATGTAAGGACGCTGATAATTTATTTACCTAAAAGAAGATAATACAAATATAATACCTCTTATCAAAGTTTTACATATGATGTTAATATCTATCAATACTTTGTATTTCTTATATTACACCTAATCTCAAGGCTAAAATATACATTTTAAAAATGATTAAAGTTATTTATGCAAGCTTTTCCTTTAAAAAAAATTTGCCGTGATTGCATTGTCAGGCGTCTCCAACCTTTGTCGATGCTTTGAATAAATTTTAAATAGTTTAATGGTATATAAGTGGGCAGCTGTGAGGGCTTTCGGAAGTCTCACTTTCAAGGTCCCGAAGAGAAATTGCACAAGGATGCGCCCGTTAAAGTGCGACTGAAGGACAGCATCGCATTTGATTAAAGGGATGAGCCAGCCCCTTGGGTGACTCAGGGAGGTTTCACCTCACGGGGGTAAGATGGGGACTCAGTGTTAACCGATCCGATCTACGTAGAATGAACTTTGTTTTGAAGGAAGAGTTTTACAAGCAAATAGATGGTGTTGCGATGGGCTCATCTGTAACTCCCATTGTCGCCGATATATTCATGGAAGACTTTAAGGAGAAAGCCCGCCTTACTGCCTCCGCAGAACACACTCACTACCACTCTTTACCGAGAGAATCAGGTATCCTGGCCAGCTTTTATACCCGAAACTCTCTAGTCTCTCGTTGCGGGTACACGATTACGATTACATGAGATTACACAGTCTATAACTACTTAAAACCATACTGTAATAGAGATAGATTGGTAAATGAGGAAATGGAGTCGGTGGTCAAACAGTCGCACAGAGTACAGATTGTTGCCAAATAATTTAAAAAGATGTCAAGCAAAAATTAATTGACTAAATAAGCTGTGAATTTTGTGTAATTTCAAATTTTTTTTTTTTATTTTTTCAGTAGTGCGCGGAGTACTTCAATGCAAAAAGGCGCTTCCTTTATATTTTGAATAAGAGATATGTATATGTGTTTTATATATTAATGTACAGTTGAAAGAATTCAAAATAAAATACAGCTTGCTTTATATACAAACATAAAAATGTAATCTATTAAGGTCGAATTTTAACCATTGGACAACAATATTAGATCGAAATAAAGCATAGATTGTAGTCACTATGTGTGTGAGCCCTGTGAAATACAAAAGGATATATAAAGTAACTGCTTACCGGCTGCGTTCTCAACTAAGTATCCATAACCCTGCCATAATCCTCTTAATATTACCGACATTTTAATTAGTACACAAGCTTCACTACTACGTACAATTAAAACAGAAACTGCAAATTATTGGTTTGATGAGTATACTTTCGTAGAAAAAACAGAATGAACGTCCTCGACGCTTCTTGCGATTACGAATACTCGTATTTATTATGTTTAAATCTGATTATATACGATTATTTAACTTTATTGCAAATACAAATTTGAATATTATATGAATTATTGATAGCCAGTTGCTATTATTTATAATCGAAAGTTCATTTACGCGCCGACCTATAAAATATTTATCGAACATTGTACACTATACTCGTACTATTTTGTATTCCGTGTGCATTTAAATTATGTAAATATTCGACTGCCACGTTGTTCTAGTCGTCGTGAGTGGGACTAAAATGCAAACGTGAAACGTGAGTGGGGCTAAAATTTCTTGACAGAAAAACCAAGTTATTGGGTTTTTCTGTGAAATATTGCAGCAGCTCGGAATCAGGACGATGGTTGTAATTCACCCTAGTAGGTACCTCGGCACGTGAAATCCTGCGCCTGATCTCTCTCTAAGGGTGTGGGATCACATCAAAATCGGGGAGCTAGGGAATAGAGAGTGCATCTATTTAAATGATCCATAATAAATCCTATAATAACTATAATCTATATACTATAATCGTGTCCAGCGCAGATGGCTAGTCTTCTTTGAGACTGGCTGCCGTGATCGTGTAACAATACTCGTATTTATATGTAGAGGTGGTGTAAGAATATCCCCTAACAGACATCATATCGTGGGTGCCGCAGGAGGCCACAGACGGAAACTGGGAAAACTAGGAAACTGGAAAGCAGCATTTTTCTGAAAACAGCTCAAAAAACACATAATTTACCTTTTTTATAATAAGATTATTTAAAAGAGATATTTACCGCGTCGGTGTAAGAATTTCCACTACCCTATTCCTTGGGTGCCGTAAGAGGCAACGGAGGAAAACTGAAGCATGGGCACCATCATCTTTCTAATAAAAGCTTGCTAAGTAAAACAGCCATAGAATACTATAATACACAATAGAATGGCTGTTAACCTTATTTTGTACGATGATCGGTGTCGCCGATAGCACACATACAAGCAATTACTTCGTATTATTACTACTACAAACCCGATTAGCTGTATTGACAAACTGAGCTTATTTGACTTGTTATTTAATCAATATTTCTTTAGTTTTGTTACTAATGTAAAGAAATATTGATAATTTTTTTAAATATTAATTTAAAAAATATAAATACTTACGACTTACTGGTTGTAGGATATGTCTTCTTTATTTAAATTCCATTTTCCCCTGTTCTTTCGACTCGTAATTATTGCACAATTTGCTATTTTTTAAATAATTTGCATGCATCAACGCTTGACATGAAAATTGACAACGATTGATTGTGTTGACATTTATAGGTGTGAATTGACATGTTAGTAACGTGTTAGTGGCTACACGGGCTCCGCCCACTCCTCCGTTCTACGAGGGCGGCATTGAAAATTTCGGGAACAAAGGAAGTGACACAACATTACTATTTAAAAAATACGTGTGGCACTCGGGGACTGCGGCGGTAAAGCTATTGAATAGCATTTTGTATCAACTTATGCAATTATAATTATTTATTTATTTTATTTATGCAGTATTTCTTTTTCTTTGATATTAATTCAAGTTACACTTTTTGAGCGTGGTGACCGATAAGAAAACAATTTTTTTTTTCTTTTATTAAATAAATAATAGATGAACTTTGTTCATTCATATTCAAAACACTTTATACACAAATTTTACAAGTACAGCTATTCACTGTTGTACATAAATACCTATACACCTATATACTTTCTCATAAACAGCTGCTTATGTATTCGTCCGATTTCGGAGCAGCTCGTCTCGATTCGTGCGAGCTTCGTAGAGTCGTACAATACGTCTAGTTGCACGCACACAAACACCGTGTCGAAGACTGCCGAAAAGAAACGACGTTAGACAATGCACGGCCTTCAAGCCACACCTCCGTGCCCGTCGGAGTGGGGAGCGTGAGGTTTTTTCGTTACGGAATTTCTGGATTCGGTCCCCGCGCTCAAGGCCCGCGATAGAAGCTATGCAATAGCTTAAAATGTATTTATTGCTTTTTTAAGTATTCTCCGCAAAATTTGACACATTTTTCCATACGATGGAACCAATCATTGAAGCAACCATTCCATTCGGAAGTTGGGTTCTCCAAAATGGTCGTTTTGTAGGCGTCCACAGCTTCTTCAGGTGATGAAAATCTCTGTCCACGCAATTTATTCTTTATTTTAGGGAAAGTATAGAAATCATTAAAGCTTAGGTCGGAGCTGTACGGCGGATGGTCTAATAATTCTATGTTTTCTTGCTCTAAAAACTCTTTTGTTCTGTGTGCGGTGTGAGAACTCGCATTGTCATGATGTAGGATGATGCGGCGGTTGCGGTTCTCTTTACGGAGTTCAGAAACGACCTGTGGCAAACAAATGCTAGCATACCATTCTGCTTTAATCGTTCTTTGTCCCTCAAGAAGAATAGTCGTAACATGGCCAATTTTGATGACAAACGTGGCTACCATTTTTTTTTGCAACACTGCGTGAACGAACGATTTTTGTTGGCTTCAACTCATTTTCGAACAACCAAACTCGTGACTGGTGTTTTGTTTCGGGTTCGTACGCATATATCCAGGATTCGTCACCTGATACGATGTTGTATACAGCATTTGAGGATCCTGCGTGGAATCTTTCGAGAGTTCTGACGCACCAAGTAACGCGAGCCGCTTTTTGCTCTTCACAGAGCGAATGCGGTATCCATCGGGAAAACAACTTTTTTACACCTAATTGTTCATGCAAGCTTATTTGTATGTAACTCATGCCAATGTCTAACGTTGCCTGAATTTCGCGGTATCTCACATGTCGATCTTCCTCAATTAGCTTACGCACAGCATCAACGTTTTTTTGGATGACTGCAGTTTTTGGACGACCTTGATGGGAATCATCACTGAGCTTGACACGTCCACGTTGAAATTCAGCAAACCAGCGATAAATTGTGTTTTTGGATGGGGCTTCATCACCAAATACAGAAATCATCCGGTCATCACACTTTTTTGTGTTAAACCACTTCGAAAGTCATAATAAATCATCGCTCTTGAATTTTCTCGAGTCAATTCCATTTTCTCAACGACTAAACAAGTTTGACAAAACCTTGTGACAACACCGAGAATCTTTTTTTTAAATAAATAAATGGTATTCGATTTTTAAAACCAAGGAGTTTTCAATTAAAAAGATTTTAATATGACAGGAAGAGTGGAAATATTCCATTCCCGATACTTTTAGTGCAGCCTAGGTATTATGTATGTATTATAGTATTCCATGGAAACAGCTATGGAAACTATACCCACGTATGAGGCAATCTATGGAGGATGCCTATGATTAGCAGTGGACCTTCGATTGACTAGGTTAATGGTATGGTGTGGCAATGGCGTAGTAAGATAGTGGTAAATGAGCAAACCGTGTGGTGATTCAGTAAATTTTTAATTTAATATCTGGTTTTGAGGCACTACAATTGAGTATCAAGGCTCCTGTAGCATTTTTTGTTTAAAGTGGACTGCAGATATCTAAGAGCCGCTGTAGGCAGTTACTATAGTCAACCAAATCTAAGAAATACCTTTTAACGTTTAATATTAATCATTCCGCAATAACTTTATACAAGCGTACTCACACGATTTAAAACTTTTACGTAAATCCGAGGAATTATGAAGTTACCTATATTTCATTACAACGTGTGTAGTTTTTTATCACTTATTTAAATTCGAATCTTTCAAACAAAGCAAAATATTAAACAAATAACTAGCATCAACTTTTTTACTTGACGTCGTTTCAATGATATGTCGCTATGTACCGTACCGTAGTGCTTGGATGATTAAAATTCATTGTTATGCGAATAATCGGCTAAAATATTCAAATAATCGGTAAAAATATTCAAATAATCGAATCAATAATTTTTATGTATTATTTGTTTAATAATTTTTTTAGTTTTAAATTTCCTTAAACTACATGAATCATGAAAAAACATGTTTATTTTTTTACTTTGTCAACGTAAATTTGTGTAGACAAAAAAACTTGTATGCAAGGCTGCGCTGAAAAAACGACTACGTAATTTCAATCTGCCGCCATTTCGTGAGCTTACTGTGCGTAATTTTATACTCCTACTACTACTATTTTGTGACGGCTTTGACTTTTTGGACTGTTTCTTCTATATTCGTTGAAGCATGTGCCCATGTCACAAAGGATGATTGGGCAGAAGTGGCAGAAAAAAAATTGATTATGAATGACTGAAAGAGGCATTAATTTTTACTGCATTACTGAAAATCAAATAATAATTAATTTAAGCAACGACAGCTCAAGTAGTTGTACTGAAAGTGATTGAATAAATTTATTTTTAATCTAGTTTCAATTTTAAATTTTAAACTGTGCCTCTAGAAATAAGCAGTAACTACAACTACCGAGAAACCGATAAACCTCATCGTTTAAATTATCCGCTTTTATGTATTGTGGTATTATTCAAACCAAAATGTAAATTATTACCAACTCTAAATAATCGATATCGATTTTTTTAAGAATCGAATACTGTACGTTCCCATTTTTTGGTTGGCATGCTTGGTGCAATGAGTATGACTGAGCTGATGAGTTGTCAAAGTGTATTTCTTAGATTTGGTTGACTATAGGTGGACTGTTTGTTCTCCTCAAAACAAGGGGTACACTGTCAGAAGAATTTGAGTTTCCAGCAATTCTGCCATAATTAATATATCGTCGGCAGATTTCCACAGTATTCGAATGTTTTACTAGGATTGAACCGATGAGGATGACGCCATCATTATCACCATGGTCAGAAGATGGAACGTAAATAATATAGTCACAAATGATTATGATACCGTATCCTAAATTCGTGGTAGAACCATGGTGCAGCTATATTACGGTTGTATACAGCCGCACCATTTTACTGGAATAG